TGGAAGTCGAAGCGCGAAGTGGCGAGGGTTCACTGTAGATAGGTAAGCAAGGAGGAAGGTAGATAGGTAAGTAGGGAGGAAGGTACATAGGTAAGTAGGGAGGAAGGTACATAGGTAAGTAGGGAGGAAGGTAGGGAGGAAGGTAGATAGGAAGGTAGGGAGGAAGGTAGATAGGTAAGTAGGGAGGAAGGTAGATAGGAAGGTAGGGAGGAAGGTAGATAGGTAAGTAGGGAGGAAGGTAGATAGGTAAGTAGGGAGGAAGGTAGATAGGTAAGTAGGGAGGAAGGTACATAGGAAGGTAGGGAGGAAGGTAGATAGGAAGGTAGGGAGGAAGGTAGATAGGTAAGTAGGGAGGAAGGTACATAGGTAAGTAGGGAGGAAGGTAGATAGGTAAGTAGGGAGGAAGGTAGATAGGTAAGTAGGGAGGAAAGTAGATAGGTAAGCAGGGAGGAAGGTACATAAGTAAGTAGGGAGGAAGGTAGGGAGGAAGGTAGATAGGTAATTAGGGAGGAAGGTAAATAGTAGGTAAGTGGAAGGAAGAGCAGGAAGGGAAGGGTGGAAAGGAGGGCGGGAGGGAACATCACAGTTAGCAAGAGAGAGAAAGGCAGAGCCAGGGAGCCAGGGCCAGAGCACCCAAATGAGAATCCGAGAGAAGCAAGGTATACATTTGGGGTTGGAGCTGAGAAACCCCCAAACTCCTTCTACTTAATCATGAGAAAGAATCACCTGAAATACTGAGGCAGAGAGAGAGGGAGCAATGCTTCAGGGATAAGAGTGGGAGCAAAGTGACCGTTTAAAAACTCTCAGTCCCCCCACTACTGCAGTTGTCGCCAAGGGTGCTTGCTGTTTATGTTCAGTTTTAGAAACCATTATGATTTATTGACGGCGGCCGTCAGCATCATCTGCACCTCATTCTTGCTCTGGATTATTTAGGTTCTTCTCTTAATCAAGCAAAAACACTCAACACGTGCTGATTTTATATGCTCGGAATTTTAGTAGCAGTTAAAATCCAATTTTCACCTTGGATTCCGAGAATGTTTTATTTGGGAAGGCAAAAATAAATCATTTCTCTCCACCGGGCCTCAAAAAAGGTACAAGGTTTTCATTACAGGATTCAGGCTGCTTTATCCCATGGCTTTGTTTTTGCAGGTTCACAGCCAAAAGCAGCACAAGCCATCCAAATCGATGGAATAAATGGTCATGTAGGTGGTACTGCAACACTGTGTGTTCTTCTCAAAACGGCTTAAAAACAGGTAGCAAGGAACGAGGTCATATGCATAAAAAGGCTTAGGGCCTTATGGACACCCTCCTGGTTACTCAACAGTGAACAGGCTTCAGTGTCACTCAGAAACGACATCTGAGAGATCTATGTGGCACACTGCTAGTCCTGGTAGACCAGAGAAACAAATCCAGGGAGACTCATATGTTTATAAGAAAGAGCTTTATATACAAGAACAGTTGAATATTGGGAAAACAATCCTGCCCAGTCCAGATCAAGTCCTTAAGTCCGATATTAGCCCAGATGTCCAATACCAGTCTATAAAGTCCTCTTCAGACTCATGAGACACACGCAATGATGCCGAATGAAGGAAGATCACAGGCCAGTGGGTTGGAAGTCTTGTGGATCCAGTGGCGTTGTAAGCATCTCAGCACTGACAAGGATCTCCAGGTGGTTAACTTCAGCTCCGAAACTCTGACTGCCTCAGGGTAGCTTCATGTGGCTTCTCCTCAGAAATGTCTCACAGAGAGTGAGGAGAGAGAGTATGTGTCTCCTGCCTCCAAGGAGGAAATACAGAAGTTCCCAGAATCCTCAGGAGATGGCCATGCCCACACAGAGGCCCCATTGACTATGACCCGACTGACAGAGTAGACTCCACCCCTTCACTCTTAATCCTCTCAAGTCCCAAATGGACACCATATTATGTAACTACCATGTGCACTCAAGATTCTCACACTAGCAGCTATTGACTACTACTAGACCCTTCCCCTGGGGATCAGATACGCATAAAGGAAAAGAAGGCAGAAGGAGGGTCTTTCCTCGTCTGCAAAAGACCACACTAGTGAGGATCACACAAAGAGGATGCTCGTAGAAGCCTGCATGTCCTATGATGCTGAACAGGTCTTAGCAGAGCTTCTAGG